TTTAACAGTCTCTTATGCTTTGGCTCTCTCCCACTCTAACCTCTTTTTTTTTCCCTTCCCCTCCTCCATGGGTTTCTGTTAAGTTTCTCAAGATCCACATAAGAGTGAAAACATATGGTATCTGTCTTTCTCTGTATGGCTTATTTCACTTAGCATCACACTCTCCAGTTCCATCCACGTTGCTACAAAGGGCCATATTTCATTCTTTCTCATTGCCACATAGTACTCCATTGTGTATATAAACCACAATTTCTTTATCCATTTGTCAGTTGATGGACATTTAGGCTCTTTCCATAATTTGGCTATTGTTGAGAGTGCTGCTATAAACATTGGGGTACAAGTGCCCCTATGCATCAGTACTCTTGTATCCCTTGGGTAAATTCCTAGCAGTGCTATTGCTGGGTCATAGGGTAGGTCTATTTTTAATTTTCTGAGGAACCTCCACACTGTTTTCCAGAGTGGCTGCACCAATTTGCATAGAATAAATTCTTAAGCATGTAATTTCAAAGAGTATATTTTTATAAGAGTTTTGATGTATATTGCTGAGTCACACTCCAGAAAGCTTATACCCCTAAAAAAGATAGTAACTTCCTTTGAGCATTCATCAAAACTGAGTTATTGACGGAAAATATACCCAATTTTATTTGAAAGGCAAAAATTGTTATCTCAACTGTTTAATATCCATTTCTTTGATTTCTAGTGACCTGAATATGTTTTTCCGTTTCATTGGCTTTCTATTTCTTCTTTTGTGATGGTCTTTTGTCTATTTTTCAGTTGTAGAGTCATTGGTTTATTGTTGGCTAGGAAGAGGTCTTTACATATTAAGGATATCAGATCTTTTTTCTGTATTATTTTTTTTACAAGGTTTTATTTGTTTTTTCATCTTAGGGTGTGTTGAGCCAAAAATATTTTATTTTTATTAAAAAATCTGTGCTAAGAAAACAGATCAAGTCTTCCTTTCATGTGTTCTGCTTTTTGTGTTGTGCATAAAATGTTCTCTCCAACCCAGCTACATGCAAATAATTGCCTATGAATTTTCTGATTTTGTTTTTCACATTTAATTGTTTAGCATATAAACATTTATTTTAGTATTCAAAGTAAAATAGGAACCTAACTTTAATTTCTTAAATGATTAACAACTTGCCACAAACCACTTATTAAATAATATATCCTACTAATCATATGTATTATATGTTAAATTTGCTTATATCTAGTCTCTTTTAGACATACACATATCTGCAAATATATGTAAGTATATAAATATACCTATTTGTGTATAAACTTCTTATTTTATGTGATTGTTCTTCCCGTCTCTTCTGGCAATCACCCCCATTTGAATGAATTATTTTACTTTAAAAATACCTTCTGATATGTTAAGACAAAACTGACCCATTATATTACTCTTTATTTTTCCTTTTGCCTAAGCCATTTAAAAATGCATTTTCCTTTTTTTTTTTTTTTTTTTTTTTTAGTTTTTATTCAAATTCCAGTTAGTTAACATACAGTGTAATATTATTTTCAGGTGTACAATTTAGTGATTCGACACTTACTTAAAACACTTCATGCTCATTACAAGTATACTCTTTAATCCCCATCACTTTAACCCATCCTCCACCCCCCACCTCCTCTCTGGTAACTATTAGTTTGTTCTCTATAGTTAAGAGTCTGTTTCTTGGTTTGCTTCTCTCTTTTATCCCCCTATGATTATTTGTTTTGCTTATTAGATTCACTCTTATATGAGTGAAATCATATGGTATTTGTCTTTGTCTGACTTATCACAGTGAACATAATATTCTCTAGCTCTATCCATATCATTGCAAAATGGCAAGATTTCATTCTTTTGATGACTGAATAATATTCCATTGTATATATACCACATCTTCTTTTTTTAATACTTATTTATTTATTTTGAGGTTGAGAGAGACAAAGAAAGAGAGTATGTGTAGGGAATAAGCTTCGGAAACCCCTGGCTTGCACTGATGGTTTAACAAGGCATAAAGAATGAAAAAGCCATAGGATGTTCACACCCAAGTTTGGGTAAACAAGATTAGGTAAATAGGTATAGAGAGGGCAGGGCAAAGGCCCCCAGTATAGAACAAAGGTATATTAGATAAACAAGATTAGGAAATGCCCCCCAATTTAGTACTATGGCAGAAAGCTGCTTTCAAGGGAAGGAAGGATCCAAATAGGTAAACAGGTAAATAGGGCTACAGACTGCCTTGGGGTGAAGTTGCCCAGAGACGAGCTAATTAGCAAAAGAAAGGTGCCTTGTTGACCCTGAGATAGCATGCTCTGTCTTTCTTATCCCCTAGACCAGTTTAGGTAGAGGTGGTGCCTCAGGTCTTCTGTAAACAACTTGCTGCCCAGCTCCAGGATTTTGTTTTGTATTTACCCAAACCCCTAGTCCTGCATATCTTCAAAACCCCCTTTACCTCACGCCCATGAGTTAATGATCACAGTTTCATTGTCATTTTGTGAAAGTCCATCACAATGTTTGTAAGCCTTCTGATCCCAATAAAAACAGAGCAAGGACCCTTAATGGGGGCTCTTGTCTTCTCCCGGACATTAGCCATCTCTTGCATTTTTAATCCTGTGTCCCACTTTCTTGCTGGACAAGAAAGAACTCCAGATCCAGAGTCTATGACAAGAGTGCAAATGGGGGAGGGACAGAGAGAGAGGAAGAGAACAAATCCCAAGCAGTCTCCATGCTGTCAGCACAGAGTCCTGAGCAGGGCTTGATCTCACAAACCATGAGATCGTGACCTGAACTGAAATCAAGAGTCAGATGCTTAACTGACTGAGCCACCTAGGAACCCCATAAACCACATCTTCTTTATCCATTCATCAGTTGATGAACATTGGGCTCTTTCTATAATTCAGCTAGGTAGATAACGCTGCTATAAAAATCAGGGTGCGTGTATCTCCTCAAATCAGTAGCTTTGTATCCTTTGGGTAAATACCTAATAGTGCAATTGCTGGATGGTAGGGTAGTTCTAGTTTTAACTTTTTGAGGAAGCTCCATACTGTTAAAAATGCATTTTCTTAGTTTATGTTTTAGTTTTAGTTTTTTTTTTTCATCTACAAGGCTTTCCTTCTAAATCGACATAATATTCTTTTATCAAATAGTCTTAAAATAGGTATCTAGTCTTTTTCATGAAAATGCCTAGCAATTAGGGCTGAGAAATCAAAAAGCTCTTGAACCCCGGTAGCAATGACTATGGTCAACTGTGTGCTGAAAACTCCACAGTCAGAGCAGAGCAAGGAGCAGGAAGTGAGGCAATGTAAGTGCTCGCCTGTGAATTCATGGCCACACCTCAATTTATTTCTGGTAAGTGCATGTGACAACTATTCACATACATTACTATCTTTATACTGTCCAGGATATGCCAAATAAAGAAACAAGTCCAAAGGCGGTCTGTTTTAGAAAATTAATTAGAAGAGAGGGTAAAACTTGGTCTTGCTTATGCACAAAATATAAACTTGGAGGCTCTTCTGAGACTTGGTATAATTTAGGAAGAAACAAGCTAGAGTTTGGGATATTTTGATCAGTTGACTTGTTCTAACCACTTTTGTAATGAGTCCTCCTCAGCAAGGTGCAGCAGTGAATTGTGTGTCTTTCTTATAACCATGTAAAAGTATAATTTTGCAGTAGTTTTCGTTGTGAAACAGATGGCTCTATACTGATTACTGACACTCTTTTTTCCATGAGGCTTCATACCTAAAGGTTTTTACAAGGATCATTGGATGAGATTAGCTGTGCAGACCGTGGTTAAGGAAAAGTGTAGAATTCCTGGGCACACATTGTAGCCAGGGCTGTGGCTATGCTATCACAACGTCTTAATCGAATGCTACTAACATCAGAGAGAGCCCTAATATACAGAGAGTCTTTCCTAGTTGGCATTCTGGTCTGAAGAGTCCGTCTCTCCCGACCTCACTGACTTGCTGGGAGACCATTCTACCCCAGTGCCATTTCGATCATATTTCTTGGAGAAGAGTGCCCATGGGGGGTGTACAAGGTTTCCCTGGCTATCTGAAAATAAGGCATTCCTATGAAAACTTTCCTAAGTGGAAATGGTGTGAAGAAGCAATTATCATTAATTTATATGGAGAATTTTTGAGCACTCTCAACCCCCCCCCCTCCAAAAACAAAAATAATCTTTCTTAGGCTTTTCTCATAGCTTAAGACACATCTTGCTAATGGACGCACAAGTTAAATGGAGATAAATCGCAGATGCTCACAGCGTAGAGTTTAACACTGCGGCGGCTTGACGCTGAGACACTGAGTGTCATTCCAGGGAAAGAGCTTCGCGGGGCCACTCTTGTTGCTGAAGGTTGCGTGCTGACTCTAGAATAGCTCACTGCAACACGAACACTGAACCCTACTTGCCAAAAGCAGGGGTTGCCTGTATAACTAATTTTTCCTTATTCTGCATCAAATTCCACCAATAAAAAACAGGAATGAGAAGAAGAGTCACATATCATTGTTTAATTCTATTAGAAATGTCCTAAGAAACCTCCCCAGACATCCCTAAGAAGTCTTTTTGCTTACTCAAGAGCAGAGCATGACCTATTTATTAAAGGTTTACACTTATTTCCAGAAGACGGTCTTTGCTAATCTGGCTTTCAAGTTGGAAGGAAAGAAGAAAAGTTGATTCCTTATGGATTTTGCTCTAAACTTTAACCCTCAGGCGGTTAAAGCCTCTTTATCCAAAGTGAGTCTCTGTTTAATAAGGCCCCTTTTATAACCGCTCCAAAACACGCTTTCAAAACAAAAGTTAGAATGCTGTATGGTCCATTCTCAAGAAAGATCTGTTTCTGTTCAGCACCCGCCCTGACCTTTTTGTTGAAGAAGAACAAAATAATGTAGTAACAAAAACACAAGTGGCTGCCAAAGGAAGAGAAAAAAAAGTTCCTGTAAGGGACTGAAACAATAAATCTCCTCTCTGCTGAACTCCCAAAGGGAGTGTGTGTATTTCCTCCCGTTCTTTATCAGAGCCCCCGAAATAAGTAGGAATGGGCAGTGGCTGTTCACATTCAGCACACCTTTTCCATTTGCTAATAAGGCCCTGCCAGGCTGGGAGGGAGTTGTCTCCGCCTGACTCTGAAGAGAAGAGCCACGGAGCCGATCCGCGGGCACCATGAAATCCCTTCAAGTGACCATCCTTTGTCTTCTGTTCAGTCTTTATAGCAGTAAAGAGGACACAGGTACCATTTTCTCTTATTCCTCTGACGGTGTGGATCAGAAATTACTAGCAGGGGACTCAGTCTCAGTTTACCCTCAGGGACCTTGCCCTGAAACGTGGCTGCAGCAATTCATTTGCTGTGTCCAGTGTGTGGATGTTGACTGGGAATGCATTGAGAAGGCTCCACGGAGAGAATGTTTGTTTTCACTGAAAGGAAATGTTTGCTGGTGCGGTGGCCTTGCAGCGTATTTGATGGGATCGTAAAGGTCCGGGGAATACACAATAGCATTTTTTGAGAATAAAAACCTGGGAATAAAATACTGGGTAAAAATGTACTATTTCTCACCACTGTGCTCCTTTCAGGTGTTAAGTCTAGAAATAACGATTGTCAAGTATGGGTGAAAGGCTGTAGTCAGAAACATTGCGTTGCAGATGCTGGCCTATATGCGTGGCCACTATCTTTTGGCTCTGATAAATTGAGAGGTTGGATAAAGCCGCCTAGGAAAATGAATAGCAGTATCTTGAGGTGGTAGGGGAAGTAAAGAGGAGAGTCATTTTGATAAAAGTGAACAACATTTATTTGCTCCAGAAACCAGCACAAATCCACACGTATATACACACAACATTTGGCTCATCATCTCAAAAATCTTACCCATTGAAGGCAGTTTCAGAGACTCAACCAAAGGCTATATGTGAAACAATATAAGTCTTGGACTATATTATGACCAGTTGCAAGAGATTATTAACATTTATCTTCTAACCCTTTCTGAGGAATTCACTGTACGCAATTAAATTTAATCAATATTTATTGGGATCATACCATGTAGTCATCAGTGCAAGAAATACATGAATGATTAAGCCATTGTCCTTACCAACAGTGGTAAATGTAGTGTGGGGAAAAATAAATACGTAATTCTAATACACGACAGATTTAATAAGCATGAAAACCAAAGTACAAGCTATCATAAAAGAGCACAGTTGGGAAATATTGATTCTGAGGGGCCCTGGAAAAATATCAGTTCTAATTTTTATTTTTTCATGTGCTCTTTTCAAAAGTTTGTTGCCTACAAAAATTCTAATATAGAGTAATAATGTAGGAAAAATGACATACACTGCTTCAATAATATTTATCATTAATTTTTCAAAATACATACATAAATTTAGGACTCATTCCCAAACACTTCAAAATCACCTATGATGGCTTACCATGCATCTTGGCATTTCCAGAGTCAAGTTGCAGCAGGTATCAAGGCCAGAAAACCTAACTTAGAAGAGTTACCAAGAATCTGAGTTTTTAAAATAAAGAGTATTTATGAGAGGCCACAGAAATCAGTATATGAGCTTTTAAGTAACTCTTCAGTATGCATGGGAAAGATTGGTAGGAATCCCAATGCCATGAAAAACACTGCTTACAAACACGGGTCAGGTCAATATAAATTTGAAAGTCTGGGTGAAGCTGCCCCCTACCCCGGGTCTGTAAGTACACTAATTTCCCGGCATTGTTAAACTCTGAATGGATTACATGTCTTTCTGAAAGCAAAATGGAATGGTATCAGTTCAAGAACTCAGTAGTGTCAAATCAAGAATCAGCCTGCAAGACCTGGCCGTAAGAAAGATGGAAAGGTACAGGATAACCCAGAGATGACCTGGCAGATTTTCTGTTTATGATCATTTGGGGAAAATACCAACTTCTTTTAACTCACCAGTAGTGAACACAACCTGTTAATGGTGTCTTCTTTCTAGTGAACTATTAACCCAGGTAAGGTACTTTCTTATTTAAGCAGATATAATGATTACATAATGACTATCTCCTTCAACTTCTGCCAACAAGCCTATTTGTTAAGGAAAGTGTCTGTAAAACCTACTCCATTTTTCTTAAAAAAGGAAACTTTAGCTCATGAGCATAAATTGCCCATCCAAGTGGTGCCCAGAAGGAACTGGAAGAGGTTTTCCACCAGGTTGTATGATTTTGTTGCACCTGGCTCTGCCTGTTCTGTTTCCGTCCCCAGATATGCCGCAGGAAATGAAGCATTTCCTAAGCTGATTTATTAAGTTCTTTCCCTAACCCCCTGTACCGGAAACACATTGATTTCAAAGCTTTGTACATTCCCCAAACTTAGAATGCTTAACATATTTCATCAGTAGAATTGATTATTAGAGGTGAGGTGGGAAGCATTTCATCTGCCTTAAATTCACAAGTTGTCAAGAAGATCCATGCTTTTTTGCATAGTAATTTATTCCTAAATAATGATCTTTTAGAGAAATTGACTACTTTTCTTTTTCCTTCTGACATTTTTGTCAGTCCCAGATTTAAATAAATACAATATAGTCTTTTGTGCTCATTGTGAAAATCAAGTGAATCTTTCTACACAGCAGTGAGTGACTTTCTATTACTTGGTTGGTGGTATAACATTTTACATTCTCCAATTTGGAAAGCTGTTCTGTTGAAATATGTACGTGAAGTTCCTGAAAAGGAACTGTCATTCTTTCCCAAGGTTTTCTAAATTGTATTTAAAACAGAACAGACCCCTCCTGTGGCTTTTAAACCCCTTTGGCTTTTAAGCCTAGATCTGTGAGCCTTTTCCTGTCAAGACTGAAAGAAATGAAATGAAGAGGGCCTGGAAACAAGTTACTCTTCAAGCGCCATTTGCTTTTTGGAGTTTACATTAATTTAGGAAAAATGAAAATGTTTCAAGCATTTGCAAATGGGAATAAACATCATTTTATTGGTATCTGAAGAAGAATTTAATTGCTTGGAGAGATTCATTTGATACTGATCGAATATTCAGTTTCATGGAAAAAATGGATTGAACACACTGTAAGACAGGCATTATACTAAATGCTATAGATTTATAGAGAATACTTAAGCAGCCATGGCCCTTGAAATGGGGAAGAGAAGAGGAGGTAAGGAATAAGGAGTTTGACTATATTGTAAGTCTTAAGTGGTGAATAAAGAATGATAGGGAGCTTAGCTTGGGGTGTAAGGGCATCAGAAAAGACTTCATATAAAAGTGGAAATTATGATGAACTTTGAAATTTGAAAAACAGGAGGTTCCAGACCGATGGAATTTCTTGAGTAGGAACATGAAAACATCAGTATATTCTAGTGTAGAAATGTAAGGAAATCACACATTGGATGTAGGTTAAGTTTTAGAAAATAAGATTGGAAATAGAGTCTCAAGATATGTGGCTACCAGGATGAAAAATATTGGCTAGTTATCAGTCAATAGTTAATACTGAATAGTTAATTCATTTAGAGCCTCTAAATGTGTTTCAGTGTGGAAATTATATGATTGGGGCTATACGTTGGGAAGATGAATCTGTCGGCAGGATAATTTAGACTACTGCAGTCAGGAGAGACGAAAGCTAAAGAAAATAGTGCAAATGTTATTGCCAGTGTAAAAATCTGTCAATAAAGTAAAAAAAAAAAAAAAAAAGATTTGGGGAAGAGCCGAAAGGGAGTAGAAAGTTTGTGATCTGACATATTCTTGACTGGCAATGAGGGAGAAAGTGAATGAGATGTACAGAGAGGATTATCTGAAGACCAGAAGTAGGAACATGGTTTGGGAGCAGAGGGAGGGAAAGATAGGTGGAGACCGTTTAAGGAGAAAAATGAAGTATTTGATTTTGGTCATGGTGAGTTTGAAATCCTAATAAGATATTTAAACAGAGACGTTGAGGGTAAATTAAAATCCGCAGGGAATTGTAATGCCCCTGAAGTTGAAGGTGGCGGTGAGTGTTCTTTACTCTTGAATCCCAGGAGTTCTTAGTCCTGCCCACTTTAAGATTCATAACAGAGAAAAGCAATTTATTTCTCACCTGGATGCTCATATTTCTAGCTCTCTCATGGCACTTGTGTTTTAATTCTATCATAATTGTTTGTAGGCATATCTGATCTCCTCTTCCAGACGATAAACACCTTGAAAGTAGGGGCCGTATTTAATTACCATATTTATTTTGTTTGTCCAGTAACAGTTCTAAACATATAGTAAGGACATAGTTAGCCGGATGACATGTAAATGAATGATACAGTTGCCTTCTTTTTTTGTTTTGTTTTGTTTTCATTTTTTATTTCTTCCAATGACAAGCACTCACCAGTTTACTGCCTTGTTTGTATGAAAGATTATGGACATGTATGACTCATAGTGTATAACATGGGTACAAATGGATTGCTTTGATCCTGGCAACGAAAGTGGGCACCAAATATAAGGAAAAGGGAAAAGGGCTTCTTATCAAAGGGAAGCCAGGTCCCAAAGTCTGGCCAAGAGAGAAGATGACAGCTATAGATGGACCACCTAGCACTGGGTGACAGTAATTTACAACAAATATGGAAAAAGAAACAGCTTTGACTATAATCTTTGGGAGGAAGAGCATCTAAAAAGAATTAGCTCTACTTTTCCTTTTTGGGAATAAAATACTTTATGTAATATCTTCTTATAGATAGAAATATTCAAGAAGAAACCTTATTCTCAAGCAACTTCTTAAAAATACAAAATGGATTTTTTTTAAAAAAACAAAGTTCATAAAAAGTGAAGTTTAAGAAAGTTAATTCATGTGTTATTTTAGATAGCATAAGAGTTGCTTTAGAGCAGATCATTTTACTGATTACTTCTGTTTAGCTTAATCACTGTCAGCAAATCTTACCTAAAATGGGTGATCTATTGTAAGGAGAATGAACCAATAGGCAAACAGATCCAACGGGGAAGTATTCAGTCCCCACACCATTTGTTTCACATTCTTTTTTTATTTTCCACTACTCATTTTGTTTGAAGTTTCTACCTAAAAGTAGAAGTGATCAGTCTAGAATTTCTGCTTTCAAGAGATTCATAACAGCAGTCACCAGTAAATTCTCTGGCAATTTCATCTTGCTAATTGTAATTATTCAGATAATTGAGGGAGAAAAATGATGCCCCTTTGGGATTTTCAGAAAGCTTGTATTTTACTGGATCATTGCCCGTCCTTTCCTTTTCATTGATGAAGTTCCATTTCATGCTTCAGGTAAACATTTTAACTTATGAATAA